TTCCATTTTCTCATATTAATCCCATTCCCTTCTATCCTTTCCCCTAGCCCTCCCACTTCCTTCCCCTTTGCCCCTTTTCTTCCTATTCACAGATTATTTCTAATGGGAAAAATTTGTTCTGTACTCGTTGGTTTTGGCACGTGTCATGCTTTCCAGAATGAATTAAAAAGGAGTACCAAGGAATTACTGTAGTCAGAAGTTGTTAGCAAGGTAATAAAAGTACGTGTGGTGGGCGTCTGTGCTTAAGGATAACATAGTGACAAGCGAAAAATATGACCAAGGGCAGACCTGAGAAGGGGGCCACCCAGAGGGACAGAAAGGACAGAAGTAGTAGGAGAGCATGCAGAACGGGGGCGAGGTAAAAGGGTGAAACATTGACCCGTCAAGAAGCTCAGGGTGTGGGTGCTGTGTTCGGGTCACTTCCTCTGGATGGGTTTCCGTTTCCCTTTGCTCCCCACCCCAGATCTGGGGCTTCCTGGCTCCCCGTTTGCCCCTGAGCACCAGTGGTCTTGGTAATTAATGGGTCACCTGCCAGTGTTTGAGAACTGTTAATTTGCCCTTCGGATTAAATGCTCCCTAAAAGTGAGGACGAGGACTGCGTATGGGGTCATTTAGCAGAGTGTTATAGGAAGGGGACTAGGGGTGTCCTGAGCAGTTCCAGGAGTTGGGAAATTGCCCTGCAAGGTGTCATGGAACAAGGAGATGTCAAGGAACGCACCAAGTATATGATCATGGGAGATGGCAGGCAGGGAGTTACGAAATAATTACTCTGAGAGCAGAAAGAATAAAATGTTTAATTCTAAGGCAAGAGCGCTCGGGTACGTTTCTAAACTGTGGTGAAAGGTGGTGGAAAGGAGCGAATGAAGATCCAAGGAGAGGCAGTGCTTACAACCACTTGAGCAAGCTTGGGAAGCGGCTGGTGACACTACAGGAAAGAGGTTAATCCCTGCCTGGGCGGGGACGGGACGGGTGGAGGTGAGAGATGCCGAAGAGCGGTGTATGCAGGACTGGACTATGAGAAGGAAAACTAGGCTCTAACGAGGAAAATGTTACCATTAAAGTTCTAATTTATCAGTCGGTGTGACCCGTGGTAACAACATTTTTTAAATCTTCGGCTTCCTGATCCACACGATAGGGGGCAGTACTTCCAACTGCACGGAGTGTCCCTGTTCCACGAAATAGGCGCCTTCCTGGCTTGCTTTTTGTTTTCCACCGCTGACACGTTACCCTGATGGGGACAGAGCAGCCGGCAGAAGTCCCTGATGTTGCCGGGAAAGTAAGGGGCAGGCGAAGCCCTGCCCTGGGGTCAGGGCAGGTTTAGGGGTGGCGGGCAGGGGGTGGGGTGATTAAGGGACAAATAAAGTGGGTTGGCGAGCTTCAGTCAAAACCGGGGCGGAGAGGGGCAGGACGGGTTTCTGGAGGAGTCAATCTCTATTCTGGGGAAGCGCCGGAGCCCCGCCTGCAGCCTCGCCCCGGCCTCCTCCAGGCCGGCAGGAGTGGCACCCACACAAGCTTCCTTCCCAAGGGCTCGGGCGCGCTGATTCCCGCGGCGCTCAGCAGGTGCCGACCCGACGGGAGCCGGGCTCCGCTCGCCCGCCGCGGGGCCTCGGCTTTCCTGGAACCCGGAGCACCGGCCCCGCCCTCTCGGCTGCGCGGGCCCCGCCCGGCGGCGGCTACATGGGGCGCGGGGCGCGGCCCACCCGGCTGCATCCCAGGTAGGAGGGGATCACGGGGCTCGGCTTTGGGCGGCCGCGGAAGTAGGGCATTTCTCGGGCGGACTGAGGAAGCGAGGGCTGCAGGCCCGGCCTGGCTCGCTGTGGAGGTCGAGCCCCGCCGCGGAGGTCGAGGCCCCAACGCCGAGGTCGAGCCCCGGGGACGCGGGGCTCCCAAGCGGGCCGATAAGGGCTCCCCCCTCGGACCCCCGCAGTCAGTGTCGTCGGAGACGGCTCGGGTAGGAGCGCCTGGCTGCCGGCGCCCGCCTCAGCCGAGCCTCGTCCCTGGGGTTCGCATGGCTCACTGGGGACCGGGCACCGGCGGGCGGCTCGCGTCCTCCCGCATCAGCCTCTCGACCCCTCGGCCGCGCCTGCCCGGCCACCTGGTCATCTCCAGCCACCACAGCGCATTCTTAAACTTAGCTTAACTTCCCTTTTTTGGCTCAGTAACTACATAAACTGCTTTCTGCGTGTGTGAGGAAGGAAACTGCCTTTGCAAAATGTAACAGGAGGCGATGGCGAGGAACCGAGCTGCATCCGAGAGTCGGTGCGCCCAGCACAGAGGTGCCCGCCCTTGGGACGCAGGTCTGCTCGCTTCCCGGCACAGGCCAAGCCCGCTGGTCCCGCCCGTGGCCGGCTGAACCACAGGGGTAATACTGACCAGCCTGTCCCTCCGGATCCAAAACCATTTGATGCTGTCTTCGCAGTTACTGCTTTTTCCCCTTGGTGAGCCACAAGAATAGAATTTTATTATAGATAAAAGTGGGTTTTGAAGTATTTTGTCGTAAGCAAACCAAATACATTCACTTGAGCAGATACCTCGGACGGTGCTGTGGCTTCCTTCAAAGTCTGATGTGGGGTGGCAGCCGAGGAGGGCTCACTTGGAAGGCTTCATTTGCTCGGGCTGATGAGTACAGGAAAGGACGTGTATAATGATGAAAAGATGAGTACAAAAGAAGTAATCAATGGCATTTCCTGTTTTCTAATAGGTATATGAAGAATGCTTATCTTTTCATCTATTATTTAATCCAGTTCTGTGGCCACTCTTGGATATTTACAAACATGACAGTCAGATTCTTTTCATTTGGAAAAGGTAAATCTTCAAAACTTTATTTTTAACTTTGAATTCTTGTTTTCACCTATATATTATTGCTTAATTTAAATTTTTTTCTATGAAGCTCACCTAACATCCTTCATTTCTCTAAAACTTATATTTTCCATTAATCATACTCACTGAAAAACCAAAATCTTTAAGAGAAAATGTGGAATAAGAGAAAAGAATTTGGCTTTTGCCAAACTAGGTAGGTTGCCCTGAAAATGTAGACTTATCATTGAGATAGTGCCATTTCACCATTCCTTTTTGGTTTTGCACTAAATCCTAGCAAATTTGGTGTGTTTATAAACTCCAATATAACATTCTGTGCAGAGTAATCAGGAATTAATCAAATTCTTCAAGTGTTTATTCCCCAGGTTTAGGGTGACTGGAGACTACTAGTGAGTGAATGACAAACTTTTTTCTCCCAGGACACTCACTATTTGACCCTTTTATGGATTAAGTGTAAATGATACCCTTGGTAGATAGATGACTGATAATCTCCATGGGAGTTGGTAATAATGACACAAGTCATCAGCTTCCTCCAGTTTCCTAAAAAGTAAAACTGCTGTTTTAAAGGAGCATTCCAGTTTTTTAAAAAATGAAATGATTAAATGACTGTCAAAATGACAGTCTTTTCATGTTCTATCCCCACGAGTAAGAGTCATCACAATTTACAACTGTTGGGTGACTTGACAATTTGAGCAACTGCTGATTTCAGCTAAAAACAAAACATGTAGAATGTATCTGGAAAAATCCATGCTGTGCTCATCAATTCAGACATCTGTATCTTAAGGAAATTAATCTACTTCCAAGGTACCCTAAACTGTTTTCTTACTGAAAATCTACACATAAATTCTTTTAAAAAATTTTTTATAATTATTAGTACACATTAATTGTACAAAATAATGGGTTTCATTATGACATTGCTATTCATGCATAAAACATGCTTCGATTGTATCTACCCTCCCCAGTGCCTACTAGTATCCTCATTTTCCTCACCTGGGCCCCTTACCCTTCCTTAATAGTCCCCATTCTACTCATGTCAGTTTTCCTGAAGATTCTACATGAGAAAACATGCAGTACTTCTTACAGATCAAGTTACACCTTCGTTCATAACCTCAAACTACGTTCATACTACAAACTACAGCTTGGTTTTTAACTAGAAGCATTGAGACTTTTCTAGCAGAAAAACAGGCGATGGGAAATTTTTCTTTATATTTTTAGGGGAAAAAAGCCATCACTTCTAAGTCTTGGAAGCTGGCTAAGGCTGTGTGGATCCAACACATCACTCATGACGTGGATCCCAATCCAAAAACTCTGATGCTGCTTCACCTTCCCAATGGGAAAAGTTGCTTTAGTCAGCAGTGGTTTTCGTTATTGCAGTGCTGCGAGATTGAACCCAGGGCCTCTGAGCTACACCTCCAGCCCTCATTTCCTAGTTACCCTGCTGTCCTAATTATGGAAGTACTAATTATTCAGGAAACACAACTGAAGCATATGAAAGGGAGACTGAGAACAACTAAATGGGGGCTCAGCAAAATACATGAGTCAATGTATGACTTAAGTGGCTCAACAGCAACCTAAAACCCTGAAATTTTGATGCCTTCTACCTTCTTCTGTCACAGAGCCGTGGAATTGATAGTGCTCTGCTCCAGCAGATGCAGGTAGTTGATGAAAAGTGTGGACTTTCTGTTTTTCAGGAATCACCTGTGAGGAGGAGGTGCTGAGAACAGTGTCCACCTTAGGTTGCTGCTGAGAAAACCTTACTTTGGGTTTGACCAATTGTTATATTAGTGATTGATAGGCAGAAAAGATAGTGATAGGCAGAAAAGATAGACAACACATTTAACCTACTTAAAGGAACATTTGTCTCCCCCTTCTGTTTCAGCTCCAAGGGTAGTATTTCTTTTTTTTTTTTGGTACCAGGGATCAAACTCGAGTCCTTGTGCTTGCAAGGCAAGCGACGATGGAACCACTGAGCTAAATCCCCAGCCCAGCCCAAGGGTAGTATTTCATTGGGCCCTCTGCAGTAAACTTCTGTAAATTTTGATCAAGGCCCAACATCAGTGTTAAAAACAAACACAAATCCAGAAAGCATTAGCCAAATATGCATAGGAACCAAATGCTAGATGCACTTGGCATTTGATATCATGGCATACTTAATGTCATTTCCATAAAGCTTCTCTGTAATCACTGGAAAAGCTGAGCAGTGCAGCAGCTTTAACAAGTTCGCCTTCAACTTATTTGTATTTCAGGTGGTTTAGATTCCTATAGATCACTTTTATATGGGAATGCTTTATAATCTCATGTATGGGTAATACTCCAGCTTTGAATATAAAGACTTTTTACTTTTGGAAGAGAGGGTCAGTTAAAATTGCTACAGTATAAAGTGCTTTCTCTGCATTCCATTCTTAGTAGTCTTGTAGACTAGAAAAATTTTCACATATATAATCTCAAGTGCTGCATAGAGGAACTGTGATCTAGTTTTTACTTACTATATGTGTTTTTAATCCACAGATTCAATGATAGATACTTTTTATACTATTGGACTTGTCATGCGACTTTGCCAATCCATTTCTCTCTTGGAGTTGCTGCACATATATGTTGGCATTGAATCAAACCATCTTTTCCCAAGGTTTTTGCAGGTAGGTTTTAATCACATTATTACTATTACTACTACTATTATAGGATGCTTAATTTTTAACTTTGTTCTCTTTACAGCCCCTCTCGATTAAAAAGCCAACTCTTGCCCTAAGTCACTGCTAAGAATTCATTACATAGAAGAATTACCTTATTCCCAAACACTGCACAGTAAGAATAGTGGATGGGAAACATTTAAGGCAGTAAGGCTTACTGATCTGAGCACTGCATTGATCCTATCCTGGAAGAATATTTCATGGCTACCTCCCACACTCAATGTCACTGCTCATGGTAATGTAAGACAATGGAAAGCCATAGGATTGAAGCCACTCAGACTTGGATTTGATGCCCTGTCCTCTGATTCTGATTACTGATGTGAGATTATGCCATCTACAACCATTGGGCTGTGGCCAGGAAGAAATCCAACACACGATACCTGGCAAAGAGTAGATGATTAAAACACAAAACTGTCAAAAGTTTCCTTTATCCCTATCCAAAGAATAGAAAATTCCCCAACCATTTTTTGCTCATTCCACAAGTTTTTACTGAATACAAATAGAAAAGGAAGATTCTGTTTATCTAGTGTAACATCTAAGACTTGGGAGTCACACAGACCTGGACTCCTAAAACATGTCCTCACAGAATAAAAAGAGGTACAGAACTGTCCCAGAAGTTACATATAATTTGGGAATAAATTTATTGGTATTTACAATTTATTGAACATCTGCTGTACTTTGAAAAAAATTAAAGTGCATACAGTACCAGCATTCCTAATTTTCAAGAAAGAATTAACCCTGGTTAAATGAAAACTGTATTCTGTCACATGGAATTATTTCACTTGGAGTATGATCAAATTTATCTAAAGTCTGTCAATTTTTTTTTTGCTATACTTTTAAGGATTTTTAACTTTTTTAGACTAAATTGGCTAATTCCATTTCATGGGAAAACATTTTCAAATATACATTGACGCTTTTTATTCATAGGTTTTTTTTTAATGCAATTGATTTTTAAGTCTTTATTCCTTGGGAGGATTAACAAATCAGGGATCACCATGTTAGAAGAAACAATTACCCTTCTTATTCTGATTATTAGTTTTTTGTGGTTGTTTTGGTTCCTCTTTTATCTTTTTTATAGGAGCTTTTACTGCTATTTTTTTAGTTCACTTATCCTTTCTATGGTTCTCAGAAGTGGTGTTGGAAAGGCTTCAAAAATATGTCAGTCCAAAGTTTCATTTTCTGACCCCTTCCTTTTTTTTAGAATTCTGCAGACAATTATAATTCCCTCATTATGAAATGACTCTGAGGCCTCTGCTTTAAAATGACAAAACAAAACTCTCAGGTTGTGTAACCATCCTTGGTTTTCCTGTCTCCACATTTTTAAATGAAGAAACCATAGTTAGGGCAGCTGAGTTACTCACATGGCAAGCACAGCTGACTGTATGTACAGTAACTTGACAGATGCCTGGTGTCCAGCTGCTTTCAAAGAGCCTGAAAACCATGCCCACACAATTGTGATGTTACTTTCTTGTTACCTTCAAGAGATTGCTAAGCCACAATGGAATTGCCTTTTTGGGAACTGGTTTTCCAAAATACCATGCATGATAAATAATTCCAGCTAGCAGTAGAAATGGATTAGCTAGTTGAACATTAGTATCACATGTATCAAGTACTGACGGGTACATGAAAAGGATAGGTTTATGTCCTGTGCATTTTTTACATTCACATCTCTATTTTGACACCAAGGAAAAAGCTATGAATTTTTAAAACTGCAATTGCTAAAACAAAAACACTCACTGACTATGAGACAATAATCATTTAACAGACAGGTATATATTTTAATTTTTATACACTACAGCAGTGATGGCAAACCTTTTAGAGCTTTCAATGATACAAACAACCGGTTGTGGCACACATGCTGTAGGTTTGCCACCCCTGCACTGGGGGAAAGGGTAAACCATAAAACGAATAGCTATTTACAGACTGCCATTTTTTTTTAAAATTACATGCCAATTAAAACTATAGGTAGAAATATAGTAAACTTTTGATATTTTAAATTTTTAAGTGAAAAGTGAACAGAAGGTCCCAAAGAATCATATTAAAAATGATGTTAGATGATACCTTTAAGAAACCCTCAGAGTAATAGTTTTTCTCCGTCTTGCATTTTACATGTTTATACTATGTTTTAAATTTATAAATCCAAACACTAGGAATTATTACCCATTAGTTATTGTGCCTACAAAATTTCATTTATGAAATTTGCATGAACCATTTTTATATTTGCTGGTATCACCTCCTACGTCTGAGAAGGGCAAATGGGGATCTCTTTACCAAAAATCACTCCAAAGATTTCAGTCACAGACTCTAAATAGAGCAAATTTGAAGAAATTCTCAAAGGGCGCCTTAAACCTTTTTAAGAAAACTCAATTTCTATTTAGCTATGAAGGAAGTGCTTATTTGCATTGTTAGACATTAAATAATCCTCTGAATTTTCCATAAAATCATATAGATTTTTCTCTCAAGTTTTGCTTTGAGAATAGGCCTTATTATTGAGATAAAATTGCTGAATATAGTATTGAGTGGTAAAGTTCTTCAAAGTTTGAAGCCTCCTTGAATGAATTACATGTATAATTCACTCTAAAGGTAAGATTTTAGATTTTTCTTTTTTTTTGCGTTTAATCCGTGGAGTTCTTTAGTGTGATTAAGTATAAAGCTATATTCATAGGATAATTCTACAAATGCTAAAACTGACTTTTATTCATTGGTAGTCTTTATTATCTGTGCACAAAATGGTTTTCCTGTAAATATACTAATCACTGCATTGTATATTCTCTTACTAGCTTATATTTATTTAGGGCTTTTTATGTGCCAAATGCCTCCCCCATATATATAAAGGTATATATTAGAATGTATAATTCTCTCTGTAGATAAATATACATTAGAATGTGTTATTTAAATGCTTTTGTCTTGTAGAGGAAAGTAGTTGGTGGTTTTCTATTTTATATTTCTGAAGTTCTCAAAATAAGTCTTTGAATTAAAACTGTTTGTAAGATTCTAGAATGTCTCCCTAAAGTTGAAGTATCATTTTACCTCTTCAATATCTTATAAGTGCTAACTGTCATTTATAAATTAACCTGAAGATTCCCAAATAGAACATAAAAATGCAAAGTATTCTTATTGTATAGTTACCATACTTTTAAGTGTACCACATTATTACCATGGCCAAAGTTATAGGGTTTTTACTATATCATTACTATATATTATATCATGCCTATATAAGTTGCAACATTACAAGACCCTTCATTAGTGGTAGTTATATTTTTAAGGATTTGTTAAAAATGACAAGGTTTTCCCAAGTGTAAAGCTCTAACTAATCAAGTTATCATATAAATAAAATTAATATATTTAAAACGTCTTTTCCTCAAAATTGTTTTGGTGTTGATTAGAAAATCAAGGAGGCTCTTGTTGGAAGGACTGATTTTTCAGAAGCTCTTTTAAAAAACAGACTGTCACCTGGATGGCAGGTTCTGGAGTAGACCATAAAGCAATAAAGGTAGAAAAGTCTTAGTATTTTAGACAAGGGATTAAGAATAACATTGCCTAGATTTTGATACCAGGCCTGTAGAAAAATCACTTGCATTCAGTAAAATGTATGTCTTTTGTAAAAGGCAGATAAGTAACAACAGCACCTAATTCTTTGGGCCATTATGGAGAGTAAATGAAATGATGTAAGTTCAGAACCCAGCAAAAAGTAAGTGATAAATACTGACTTTTATCCACTTCAAGAGTATCTCCTAAATTGTCTCATTGTATTGACCTTCAGTGTGCAAATTAGTTAAGTAACTATCAGATAATTTGTTAATTAGGCCAACATTGTATATGGAAGGAGCCTTCACATATCCACATGTATGTCCATGTGTTGTGGTTTGGGGGACTGTTAACTACTGATTTCTATGCAACTGAGAATCCATCACTAACAGCCGCAGACCTCAGTTGATGACTTTCGATACAGTGAGTTTCACTGTGCAGCTCCAGTCTCCCTTTTAGGAAAATTTTCCTTCTGTCCTTATCAACTAAGAGCTGTATGACATCATGGATACTTTACAGCTCTGGAGGTCAGGAGACCTGGGATATATGTATTTCCTAGCCTGCCACTTGTTTAGGCATATCACTTAAATTCTCTGTCTCCTGAAATCTTTATTTGTAAAAAGGTGCAGTGGGCTAACATCAGAACATTTTATCTGGAGGGGACTCTAGATATTATCTTAGTAAGAGCTACATTTCTTCAGTAGTTAAGAGTGTAATTTGAAAGGTGTGTTGTATGCATGTGTTCATGTATATGTATCTCTTGCGATTTTTAGCAAGAAAAAAACCCCATAGGTTTTCCTAATTACCAGGCATTGATAAAGTGCAAGGTTAGACAGTACTTCTTTGCTGCTTAGATTTTGTATTTAAAGGCTGCTTGCTGTCATGACAGTGAAGTTGACCATTCAGTAATTATACTTGCAATTCAGTAGAATTCATTACAGAAATTGTTGAATTAAATCAATAAACTAGGGTATTATATTGGAAAGACTGACCAAAAAAACCCTGCTATGTAGATATCTTCTATAGATCGACTAAGGTTTGAATCATACCTTGATTCCCCTTCGCTAAGCAAGGGTCTTCTTGACTCACCTCTTTGGTCATAAGTATGCTGATAAAGTTTGTACATGTGAACTTCTGATCATGTGGCCTTCTGTTGGCAAATCCTGGATTTTTCTACACAAACAGCCTATGATTCTGACATAGATTAACCCAGTATTTTTTTCCTTAATCAGCTTTTAAAATAAAGATAGCTATTGAAAAATATAAAGCAATCCCTTTATATATTCCTTTAATCTCAAATATATTTTGTCTGAGAGCAAAATAAAATGTCCTTCTATAACACACGAAAGTATAGAATGTACAGAACATTAGTATAACAAGTTTTATATTTACAATGGGGAGAGAGGATTGTATTTTGAGCCTAATAATTGGAGGTAAGCCAAAAATGTGTGAATTCTCAGTGATTGGTAAATGCTTGCTGACTTGGGATATATAATATACATTCTAAGAATGTTAAATATTTTTTCATTTTCCACTAGCTTATGAAGGTTGGGATTATATTACACCCTGAAAAAAAAGCTACAATGGCTTCTCTCTTTGATGGAATCTAAATTTTTCATCTTGTCACCCAAAACCCTCACTACTCACCCACAAGCACATTTTCAATTTCATCTCCTATCCTTCGCTTCTCTGCCCTCTAGTCTCTCGAGCCTCCCTGCATTTTCAGACCTCTCCCTCTGCGCAGGCTATACCCTTACCTTGGACGACCTTTCTCATATCCAAACTACAAACTCTATCCATTTTCCAGGATCCAGCTAATACGCTGCCCTCTCACTCACCTGTGGTCCTGTGTGTAACCCAGACTGCTGTGGTCCCATATGCTGTCATTACTTTCTCACACCACTGCTACCCTCTCTGGAGCAAGGAGGATACTTTCATTATAGAACCTAATACACAGTGAAAACTGAATAAAAGCTTGCCAAAATTAACAGAAACATATGTGCATGTGGCAAGAAGAAAGGAAGTGTCCTAATTAAGAAAAAATGCTTTTGTTCATTATATTACTTTGGCAAGTACAGAAAAACAGAAAGGCAATAAAATTTATCCATAACCCAGCTCTTTCAGAGATAGTTATTGTCAATAATTTAGTACACATATTTCCAGCTAAAGCATACTTTTAAAAGCAGCTCTGGTTTTAAAAATTAGAAAATTACTTACATGCTCTAACAGATGATCCTAATTCTTGACTTTACTGTTTGTTAGCTCACAGAGAGAATAATCATCCTTTTTGTGGTGATCACTAGTCAAGACGAAATCCAAGAAAAATATGTGGTGTGTGTTCTATTCATCTTTTGGAATCTACTGGATATGGTCAGGTAAGAACGCAAACTAATATCTTAAAAGGGGGGCCAAATTGCTTTCTACATTGAAACCAGTAATAGCTCCTTATATTTGGTTACTCTGAATGAGACAGAAAAACATAACCTCTTTCCAATTATTTTATCTCGATATGGGAATGTTTTTTAGTGCTTTCCAGGATGAGTCTGTCAAAGATAATGAAAACGTATCATGGTATTACAAGGCAAATCAATGCCTTCAGGCTTTCAGCGTAACACCAACTTGGAGTAAGCCTCACATTGTGTGCTAATGAAAGGCATTTTTTTATGATTGCTCCAGTACATGTTGCTTTAATAAGCAAAGCAAGACTTTCATTATGTCACTGTCAGAATTTACTAAGTTGGTTTCTGTGAATTAAAGAATATTTTAAAATAGGATATCATCACTGGAACAAAAAATGCACTTCCACCTCCACTTTTGTATATAATTCCAGTGGGTTCAATTAACTAACTCAAGTTCTTTTGTGGAATACCCAGGAACTCTGGCTCCTGATAGTCTTCAGCTTCCTTCATACTCTAAATCTTTACAATGAGAGGTGCCTTGTCCTCTCCAAGCAGTGATGTAAGCCAGTCCCCTTTGCTCAGTGAACAGTCTGACTCTTTGGGGTAGTGTCCATCACCCTCACCTGGGACTTGTTAGCAATACAAACTCTCAAGCTCTACCTCAGACCTAGGTTATCAAAAACTCAGGGAAGAGAGGGTAAACCCAGCAATTTGTGCTTTAAGAAGCCATCTGAGTCATTCTGATGGATGCTGAAACCTAAGAGTCACTGGCCTATTCAAATAAATAAAAATATGTAGATTGCTTTGTCTACTACTTTACACTGGTTGGTTTAAAACTGCCTACTCTACCCCAAACCAGCTCCCAAAGCCAGTTCTTATAACTGATCATATAAGTTGGAACAACTACAGATACTGAGGGATGCCAAACAGGAATTTAGAAATCAGATTTTAGTAAATTCGTTCCTGAAATACTGACAATTTAAAAAAAACCTAACTGCTTGCTGCATAGGATAAGGTTGGCTTTTTAAAATAAAATTGAAGTCATTAATCAAGGAAACTTATAATGTCTCGTGAGGCAGTCATAGTTTTGCTCTATTCAACCCTATAATTATCTATGATGCACCCCATGAGATAAGCCAGAGTGACAGGGTCCCTACCACCACTTTTTAAACCTCTTCTCTTGCTTAAATTATAGGAAATAAAGTGTATAGTTTGCACAGTTTGCACTTTTCCAGCTTTATCCCTGTATTTAATTATGTGATAAGGTGTATTCTTCTGTTATTTCCCAGACATCAGCAGGAAATGATGTCTGTGAGCCCCTTGTTTCCTTTCAGGTACACTCACAGCATGCTGGCAGTCACAGGGACATCGTATTCGGTCCTGACATGGCTCAGTCAAACACTGTGGATGCCCATTTATCCCCTGTGTGTTCTTGCTGAAGGTAAGGAAAGAGCTGTGTTGCTGACTGACAAAAGCCATGTAGTGGTAATAGTTCACTAATTTTTTGATGACTAAATTGATATTACTCAATATATCTTTCCTGGCAATTTCCCTTGCTGCAAAAAAGCAAAACCTTCAGAAGCAAAGCTGGAGAGAGAAGAAGCTCTGTACAATAGATAAGGCATTGGATGAGAAATAAGGACTGAGTCCAAGCCCTTAACTGTCTGTATGCATTTGGCATAATTCATTTAACCTGAGTCTGTCACTTGCCAAAGAGGGGTTAAGTATTTAGAAATTCTGTATCTTTTTACTTTTAATGCATAGAATTTCAGTTCTATTTGGCTAGACTTTCCTGTCTACTTACCATCTCCCATTGAGCCTGTCATTTCTGAGGAAAGTGCTCCTTGACTTCTCAATTAAGATAATTCCCCTTAGTACAGCATCATGAATGGGTCTTCAACAGGGCCTATATTGGGTGTAACTAGATATCTGTATGATCTCTCACTAATGACCATTTTCCTGATTAGATTTTTAGGACACATGAAGGTACAGGGATATATCTGTTTCTTTGCTCCCTTCCTTTCTTATGCACTAGTAGACATGCTCAAGAAACACAGATGACTTACTGGCTGCAGCATGAAGTAATCTAATTACATATCCTAAATATAAACCTAAAACTTGAAATCAAATAATTAAAATCATTAATTTTCAAAGAGCTTGAGGATATTTAGAGACTATCTGGTTCCTTCTGTAGTGGATTTGACAAACTGGTAGGGAGCTTTCTGAAAGTCACGATTAAAGTTTTTAAAAACTGAAGGTATAAAAAGAAGCATATTAAGGTAACTAAGGGAAAATATAAAACGTATTTTCTATTGTTGACCAGAGAAAATGAGCTTGGTTGTATTAAATCATATTAAAAAAATTTTTTTAATTTTCCAAAAGGAAAAATTTTGGAGTAGAGTTTGTCAAGAGAATTCAGTGGATAATCCTGAAAACCCATAAAAGCTGATTGCCCTTTTTTTTTTTTTTAAGAAAAAAGGAATTAAGATGTATTATGTACATCTTACATTCCACAAGGAATGTAAACATTGAGTACTATAAAAATGTACTAATAGAATGAAATACCTTACTCATATAAACATTAAGTGCATTCCTTTGTTACATGAAAATACTATAAAGGACATATAAAGGGAACAGTGGAATATTGGGCAAAGGATATAAAGTTTGAATTAGACAGGAAGAATACATTTTTGAGGTTTCACAGTAGGATGGCTGTTGTTAGTAAATGTGTATTTCAAAATAACTAAGAGTAAACTTCAAATGTCCCATTATCCAAAATAAATGAAGTGATAGGTATGTTAGCTTGACTTCCTCATTCCACATTTTAAACATATATCAAAACACACACTGGACCCCATAAATGTGTAGCTATGATTTGTCAATTAAAATTAATAAAAATTTAAAATAAAAAGATTATATAAAGGGGTAAGGTAGAACTATGACTAATCCCTTCTTAAAAATAAGGAATGAATGTATATAGTAAATCTTTTCATTCTCATGAATTCTAAGCCTACCCTTTTCTAGGAAAGCCATGTTCTTATATGGTTGCTATATAATCCATATTCTTTTATTAGATTTATAAATGTATAATTGCAAGGTAAGGTATCTGCAGAAAAGAATCTAAAAGCATATGACAAAATGTCAACAATGAATGTTCGTAATTTTATCTTTGTGTTTCTATATTTCAAATATTCTGCAATATAAAAATGCAGTTAAGAAGCCTGCTTAACTTTTGATAATTAATTTTAATAACTTAATAAAGTTAATAATTTATAAATAACTAATTTTCCCATCTGATAAAGTGCATATGAATAACACAATTAACTAATTACATGATGAAATGTTAGAGACTTAGGTATAGTCATATTAATCTTAAATGGCAAATTTGTATCAGTGCAGGTCCCGTACTGTTGCTGCTTGTGCCCAAGCTCTTTGTGGGCTCTTTTCTTCCATTTCTTTTTCTTAAAAAATAATTTTAGATTCACAAGAAGTTGCAAAATTATACAAATTCCCATGTACTCTCCACTTAGCTTACCTTAATGATAATATCTTATATAACCATACGGCACTATCGTCAAAAATCTACACACAGGTTGCAATTTCATGGAACCTCTCTCTCTATCTGATATCAGCTTCTACTCTCAAAATATTTTAGGCCAGCATTTCTCACAGAATTCCTCAGCCTTTTTCTTAAGTACTACTGAGGCTTGGGTAGGAAGAAGATGATAATCCAAGGCCAGTCACATTGATAAAATGTTGGGTGAGCCAGGTATGGTGGTACAAGCTTGTAATTCCAGGACAAGGAGGCTGAGGCAGGAGGATGACAAGTTTGAGTCCTACCTGAGTGAGACCCTGACTCTAAAAATGGCTGGGGATCTAGCTGAGCGTGAAGGCCTTATGTTCAATCCCTAGTACTGCCCCCTTCCTCCAAAAGTTAGGTGATACCAGTTTCTTTATGGTATGGAAGAACTTCTCTGAATTGCTACTTCAGTATTCAATGTGTATTGTGCCACTCCAAAATGAAAATATGTGCAGCATTTTCCAAATTGATTTATCACTGCTATTTGTGGCAATGGGCACAGATGTATTTTGAATAACCCTTTTAAGAAATACTATAGTCTTTACATGTAAGCATAATATAAAATATACAATGTAAAAATGTAGTAAGTCAAATTACTGTAGCAGCCTCGCCAACTTAATCATATTTCTATACCAAACTGCAGCTTTAGGTAAAGGCTTTAGCAATCATCAAAAAACTGTCATTGTCAAAGTCAAAATCTACTTCTACTACGGAGACATATATACATATCCCCATAACAAGAAAGGAAATTTTTATGATTTTTTTCCCTTTAAACAGCATTTGCCATCTATCAATCGCTGCCTTATTTTGAATCATTTGGCACTTACTCGACCAAGCTGCCCTTGGACTTAGCCATCTACTTGCCCTATGTGCTGAAGCTGTATCTCCTGATGCTCTTTATAGGTAAATGGCTGCCTTGTTTTTGCATTCTTCCTGTTCTTGCTGGTTTATGCTGCTGTCTTAATAAACAAGTTGGTAAACATGGGAGAGACCAAAGAGGAAGCCTAACACTATGAACTAGACTGTGCTATTAAAACATTTACAAGTTATAATGCTTTTGGCAAGGCAGCGCAGGATCAAATATATCGCTGTTTCACTGTATGGTCAGGAACAATTTTACTATGAGAGAATATAACTGCGTTATGTATGAAATACATAAGTTTTGACTGTAAGCACAGCTATCTACAAACAAAGTACGTGTCAAACTGACCAAGACTGGCTATTTCTAATTTTCCCATTTATATCTATTTTTTCCTGTTTGGCCTTACATGTTAGTTCTTCCTAGCAAGCAAATAGGAGTAGGTGCTAAAGACTCAAAGTTTATGAAACAAAAATTTACAGTTGGGTGGGATTTCAAGAAGGCTGAATAGAGGCATCCAGCATGCACCAGCTCCTCAACAGTGACAAACCAAAGCAACAGGTGAATAGCTGCATTCTGAGGTGAGTGGTCATGGGAGAAAACTGGAAATCAGTAGGAGAGAAACTAGAAACTCTTACCATTCAGACTTGGGCCTACTGATTTCTTACAGGCCAGCAGGGAATTGAATGATGTATTTTAAGTCCTTTAAATAACTGCCAACCAAGATTACTCTGCTGCAAGCATCTCCTTCAGAAGTGAGGAGAAATAAAGACCTCTTAAGCAAAAATTCAGGGAATTCATGACTAGCAGGTCAGCATTACCAAAAAAGAAAAAGGAAGTCCTGCATCCAGAAATGGAAGAAAAATTACATCATGATAGCATATGAAAGTATTAAGTCCCACTAGAAGAGTCCATACACAAAATAGAAAAGGAAAGAACCAAACATAATACATCATTAAACCACAAAGATGAATAAGAAAAGAATGCTCAAAACTACTAGAAGAAAATCAACAAAATAAGAGATGAAAGTCTGTACTTTAAGGACCTTGAATGTAAATGGACTAAGTTCTCCAATTAAAAGATACAGAATGGTTGAATGGCTTAAAACATTAAGTTCTAACAATATGTTGTTTATAAGAAACTCATTTTACCACTAAAGACACAAGCTAAAATTGAAAGGATGGAAAATGATATTACAATAAAATGGATAAACTGAGCATAAGTATCTATACTTAAAATACATTGTAAGGAAAAAACTGTGGAGACAGAGTCACTATATAATGAGCAAGGGATCTCATAGACCTTGAGAAAACAATCCAAAAATTCATTTGGAACAAGAAGAGACCCAGAATAGCAAAAGCAATTCTAGGTAACAGAGACATGGCA